CATTTCAAAAACTAGAACATTCTCTCGTCAGCCCAACACGAGTTTCAACGAAAACGCTCATGCACCACAGACCTGCTACTTGCACGAGAAGAGTAAACACGATTCGTTTACGCAGAAGAGGCAGTAGACTTAGTATACCTACCGTATACTGTTGAGAAAGCTCTGTAACAACTGTGTTCGAGGACTGCTGCTTGACTGAATCGAGGCATTTCTTCGGTACCAAACCGTATCGCTTCGAGCTATTGGTTCTCTATCGGGACCGATTCAGGCTATCCGTAGACTTCCACAAGGATCCCTGCTCAGTCCCTACCTTTTCCTAGCGTTCATAAACGACCTACCAGCTGTCTTTGGGGAAAAGGCATTATTATTCACTGACGAAGCCAAAAACAATGAGAACGGTACAACATCCCGAAGATTATGAAACCAAACAGGGAACTCCTGACGCAGTTTACCGATGGTCTATCACTGATGGCATCGAATTCAACGTTGAGAAATCCAAGGTTGTATTGTTGCGTCACAGAGATCGCTTTCCATATGTACTTGGAAATCAGCCAATGCGGTGTGCTCCAAACGAAAAGGATTAGGGATTTATTTTTATGACGATCTAGCCTGCTTTACACATTGCGTTAGAGCGTCATCAAAGGCCATAAAGCTCATTGGATTACAAAAACGTGTTTTTTGATTATTCGACACAGACCTATTGCCTCGTTTGCTATCGGCATACTTTAGATCACACACAGAATATGCTCTCCAAACTTGGATTCTATGGCTTATTCGGAACCGAAAGGCAGTCAAACGTCCACGGAGAACAGCAGCCAAACTGACCAAAGGGTTACAATCTAAGNCAATCTAAGACCTACGGTGAAAGGCTGCAAATTCCCCAACTCTATTCATCTGAATACGGGGAGACACTGCATCAATCGAACCATCCGTGTAGTACTCTTCTAACATCATCCAGGAATGCGTTTAAACGTTTGCTCCAAAACAGACTGCAGGTGTCACTCTTTCAATCTGTGTTTTTAATACCTAGAACTCTCTTCTACCTTAAGTTTCTTGTGTTCTAACCATCGATTTCTTGTAAGTCAAGACTGGATGAAGCCTTGAACTGCACCAAACTGTTCAGCACCCGAGAGTACATATGCTAGTTTGCTTTCTAATTGTACTACCAAACAAATTCAATGTGCATAGATCCTATGGGATTTAATCAGCACCAGATTTGTAATTTACCCATTATAAAAAATTGAATTTTTAAATTTTTCAACCAACCAACGGCACACAGAAATGGCCACATTTGTGAATTCCGAAAAGCATTATGAAATTCCTCCGGTTATCGCCAATCTCCATGTTTTGTTTCATCTTTAATGGTAATTTTGATCGATTCATTTGTATTAATTGAGTTCAATTATTTTTAAGTACCATTATTGATCACCGGGTAATCCGAAAAGACGCATTGACAAATTATTTTTTGTCTATTTTGGTAAACAAATTTCAGTGGACATCGATTTTTTTGCTCTTGTTCACACACCCTGCCCTTCTCCCAAACTCATTCCGGCCTTAATCAGCGTTTGGTGTTCCCGGAGCCCCAGTCACATCAGACATGTGTCAATTTTTGTACAGTCCCTCTTCAACTCCCTTCTCGGTCCTGGCGACTGCAGAATCCGTGGGCGCACTATCCACCGGTTCAGCTCAATCTCGTGCGCATCCACGGGGCTGGACAAACTCACCATTCTATCCCAATCCGTATCCGTCCAATAGTACCTGCCTGTATCTGTTCCTGCCCAATCAGACCGGGCCAAGACGGGAGCGTATACGGCTTTCATTTGGCACGTTTGAGACACAATCCGGTCGACATTCAAGCACCGATTTGACCGGGCAACTAATGCCATTCTCTCTGTGTGATCAGGTGAGTTACAATGGCGTCGGGTCTGCATTCACGATCCGGATGGATTGGCACACTAATGACACAACGTCAGAAAAGAATCCAAGGTTTTCAGTACAAGGGATCATCATATACCTAGTCTATAATGGGATAAGATACACTGTTGTGACTGGGGGAAAATCTCATCTGACAGACAGTATAATAATCATACGTTAACACTCTAATCGCCTAACCTCATCCCCCCCCTCTCCCCTGGCCTTCGCTCCCCACCCCGGGGTCTTTGATAATATGACCGTAATACAATTTTTATGCAGGATAAAGTGTTTTTAAAGCATCGGTCCGGCTCCGCTGGATAGAGAAAAAGCGAACTGTCTACAAACATATACCTTAAAATGTAAGCCACATTGGAAACTTTTAGTCCATTCTGAGAAACGATGAGATTTGATTACAGTTGCCAAACATGATCGTCATCTCATCAACAATAGAAAACATATGTGGGCAGAATTGATATTGAACATCAATTTCACGTGCTCTCATTCAGGTGTAAACGCACATTTATATTTGATCATGTGAAACGAAGAAGCATAAGAGTTGAAATGAGTCATTTGAACAAAGTGTCGGACAAGTGAGTGGAGTGATTTGTGTTTGGTTAGGGGTTGAAGTCAAGTAAGATGAGCAAATTTGATATGGGATGAACTGGACCAAACGATGTGGTGAATGTGGTGAACTAGGGAGGGGGAGGGTAGGTCATGTCACGTCATGCGATGGTAGGGTGGTATCAAGTGTGATATCATTACTATCATGGTAAAAACAGTTGCGTCACAAATCTTTTTTGAACACATCATTGCGGTTTCAAGCGATGAATAATTATCGTTTCTGAGAATCGCAAAGTCCGTGAACTTCGAGGCCTCGCAATGACTCGAAACGCTTTGGGTGCGTCTACGTGGTGACCGGAGTCTAACAAATCACGGGCAATTGCACTACACCTTTTCCCATCAAGCTTTAGCCAAAACCCGCAATCCTTTAGCCAAAACCCACATTCTTTTAGCCTTGACCTGCATTCCTTTAGCCAAAACCCGCAATGCTTTAGCCACGACCCGCAGTCCTTTAGCCTCGACGCACAACCT